TGTTACATCCTCGGGCTCTACTGCTAGTTGTTAATAAGAGAGCTGAGTTTCAATTCTTGTTGGGTACATTATATTTATTTACATGCAAATACCCTTGGGAATGGTATAAATTCACCTTGTCTATTACTAAACTATTATCATCTCTATCTCTCAAAAAAATTCTTACAATCTAAAAATATTTTCTGGCTTTAAATAACCTGATAAGCTGTAGAAAAGGAATGAATCAATCAAAATCATTGAGTACATATTCATGTGTTGAACCAACAAATTCATCTTGTAAAACCTCCTCCTACTTGCAGCAGTTAAAGGACTTGTTGTTAACATGCAAGCACCAGGAAAGCCTGATTGAGTAAGCTTTGTTTTATAAGCACAGAAAACCAACAACTCTTTAGACAGGGGGTTATAATGTTTTGTTTCATCAGTTTATATGTAAGCATAACCAGGGTCATCTGGTTTTTAGACAATAGCAGAATCTTGGGAACTTTATATTAATTGCAAATGAAGCAGTTGTACATCAATGTCAAGATAAAGGCAAATTTTCTATACTGGGCATGCAGAAGATAAAGGATTAGGTTATTGACTGCTGTTAGAGATACTTTGTCGGGTAGACTATAAATAAACAATCAGACACAAATACAAATACTACAATGCAGTATTATATCAGCATACGATAATGCCACAAGACTCAGCCTCTTTGAAGTGCTAGCTATTTATGTTCTTATAATAAACAAAAATGGTTGAACACTAAATGGGTTTGGAGTCTTTGTGTACCAAAATCAAAGCTATTGCTTTTCAGTCAAAGAAATGAGATTGAAGAATCATCTATGCTATACCACAAATAATTAGATTATCTGCTAATTTGTGAGCTGTTTAAATTGTAAAAGCCAACAATATTGATCACAAGCATGGGAATTGATTGCTGCAGTCCTACAAAAGTTCATATGCATGTATTACTGTTTCTATCCTAAATGCTGACTGGATAACATTTACTGTCATAACTTTTAGAAGCAGAAAGGAAAATTATAATTTTAAATGGATTAAAAGTAGTCTTTTTTCTATGAATACTAGAATTATTTTGCAAATCTTCACAGTATTTAGTATTGTTGAAGTTATCGCTAACATTTCTTGTCAAGATTTACAAACTCTGTCTTGTTCAATTTTGAAAACCAATTGATGAAATATGAATAAGCTGATTTGTCTGTAAAAATATTTTGACAAAAACCCTACTTCGTGGTTTAATAATTTTTTTAATTTTACAGGACTTCATGTAAACAATATTTTTAAGAAAATTATTTTTCCTTTTTAAAAGTGAAGAATAAATTTTTATGATTTCTTACTCTTGAGCATGCAACTGGCTATGAGTAAATATTTATTCCTGGAGCCAAATTCCAACTTTTTGAAGTATTTGGCCTTGTGATTTGTTTATAGTTTTCACAAATGCAGGGTAAATTGGATTCTTGTATATAAAAACTTAAAAGATATGTAAAAAGCAATATTGCATTTTTATTAAATAAGTATTTGCTTATTTTAATCATTGAATTATTTTTGAAATAGTAAGAGTATTTTGTATGTTAAATAATAAAACTTTTGATTTTTCTCAAAAAATGAATGAAAATTCATTGTAGTAAGCTATGCACTCTAGTAAGATCAACTGTACTTTGTACCACCTTACCTGTTTTCACTTCTCCACAAAATTTGGTTTTAATCAGTCAATGTATGGCTATTTTAGAGGGTGTGACAGACGGACAGACAGATGGAAGTCACAGAATTTTATATGTAGAAGTCTAAGATTTAAGAGTAAGTCTTGCTGCATTCAGAGTAATGTTAACCAGTTAGTAAAACAAATTTAGTGAAGTGAAATGTTAGGGATTTAATGAGATTCACATAGGCATTAGTTTTGTAAAAAATCTGTAAAATTAAACCCCTTTTCAAAACTGGCAAAAATAAAATAACATATAAAAGCATTAATTGAATAAATAATAAAAAATGAACAATAACAATTATGACAGTTCTTTTGTTTATTTACAAACTGAAGTAATATATATTAAATGATACAGTTATCATACACTTTGTTACATAAGCAAGACTTCAAATTCTCTACTCAGCATACACACACACAAAAAAAAAGAAAAACTTAATTTTCTGGACAAGGAATTGCATATTTTTGGTGTCAGCTTTACATAGTAAAGCTGTAACAGAGTGTTGTTTTATGATCAATTAACTTCATGAAAAAATTCAATCATGTTTTATCAGAAATGTTAAATGTTGATTTCAAACTTTAACATGATGTCTTGAAACAAAGAGAAATCCTACCAAAGTGTTTGAATAATTTGGGTAGAAATTATTGAGACTTATAGTTTATTTTTCAAGAGAAATTTTTTAATTATTCTATTAAAATAATATATTAAAATTTCAAAAACTGTTTTAAATCACCATTTGATTCTCCATGCTTTATAGTTAATAAGTTTTCAATTCAATCTGATAATTTATCTTGCAACAATGTTGCACTGGAATTTCCAAGAAAGATTCTTGATTTTGCTTTTATTTTTTCAATGTCAAAAAAAAAGAAAAAATAATAATAAAGTGGGTGAGAGTATCAGAAGTTCCTGGCCCGGCACTGTAGCCTCTGTTAAATGATGAGGTTACATTGTGGATGAGAGTTTTCAGTGAAAAAGCTGCAAAAATTTATTGATAAATTTGCAGATCTTTTAATATAAGCATGATATACTAAACATTTTAAATGATTTTTAATTTATTTATAGTTTCTTAATTTCATATATCTTATCATGCATAAAATATATTAAAACAAAAACAATCACATTATCAGCAATGAAGCATTGACAAACATTACTTCAAATTTTTTTTTTATCTACATTTGTTTAAAACTTTTATATTATACTTGCATATTATTCAAACTGTTATTATTTTCTATACCAGCTTAATTTAATGAAAACTATTATAAACCAACAGTTCATCAAATTGGGATGTGTGGGTAGTGGAAAGGGCAATTGGCAAGTCAAGTTCAAAATCTAGCCAAGTTTGTTCCATTTGCTTTCACTCAAAGGTGACACGACTATGGGTTAAATAGTAGGGTAGACTGGGCTCTCTAGCTTTGGTTGGTAACCAGTCTAGGAGAAGGAGAACTCTGAATTGAAAACAGTGGAGAAGTCAATGGAATATCACTTCATTATTTTCCCCATGAAGTTCTAGCAATTACAGATAATAACAAAAAAGGAAGTTGTGGTGAACCATGACTGCTTATATTCTGAAGGGACATGGTAAAAAGAAAAAAATGTTAATTAAATTGGTGCTTTTATGATGCTAGTGAATAAAACAACTTTAAGAAAACAAAATAAAGATTGATATTAAATAAAACAAGAAGTATTTTTATATTATATAATGGAGGCAGATAAATATGGGTCACATTTAAAATGTGAGAAATCTCTCTTTGGTACAAAACATAAAAGTGAAGTGACTAGATTATTTTTGTTTGCCAATGTCATTACGTATGTTTTTCTCAGGAAATACTGTCTTTTATTAATTGTAATTCTGTACTTTCCTTTACATGTAAGGAAACAGGTCAGGATAAAAAGATATTTTTTAAAAGTACAAATTTTCTAAAATAAATGTGTAAGCATAAAAAATTCTTTGCAATGTATATCTTCATGCAAGACTCTTGAAACATTATTTTTCAATTAAAGTTCAAAATCAAAATAGTAAGCAAATGACAAATTTGTATCAAAAGAGTATATAAATTTTTATTTAACTAACATAACTTTATAAGTAACAATTTAAGCTTACAGTCCTGAGATTGTAAGCAATTATGAGCAAAGTTACATGAAATAACTAATAATTTTAACTGGTAATAAAAATTGTTTTCAGTAAGTTTCTCTTTGTTTTGTAGTCCATTGCAAACCTTATTTTTCATGTTATAATTGGCCAAATTTAAAGAAGTTCTAAAACCATTTAATTTTAAAATACCACCTTGTCTATAGCTGCTGAACAACTATAATCCTAATCCAATTCTTTAGTACTAAAGTCAGGAGGTTATTAAATTTATGTTGGTGATCAATTTTCTATAATAAATACTCAAGTTAAAATGGCATTACATTAATTTTATGGTAACTGAATATCATTTTAGAATCCATCAAACAAGAAAAATAAATGTTTCAACTATAATGTACCTATGCTGAATATTAATCAGTGTATACAATTAAATAATCTAATCAAAGAAATAAAAAGGTCATATATATATATAAAAACAATATTTTGGCCATGCATAACATATCACTGAGCAAAAAAAGAAAAGAAAAAAAAGAGATTTAACATGCATGAGAGCAACCAATAATATTCTGGAAATTCTCAATTTGCAAAGACAGATGAAATTCGGGTTTGATTCTATGAACATTAAACAAATCATTTAGATGACAGTTTTAGCAAAATAAAAATTTCTCAATAATATAAGCAGATCTCAAATTTCACAAGAGAATTTTTAGCAAGATTTAGACAGGCTTGATACAATTATATATGTCTATAAGAAATGATTACATTTTTTTCTCATTTTGGTAAAGCTGAATTTAATATTTCAATAAGAATGGAAATTATTTCATCAAAAGATTTGTTTACTTATTCAGTAATATTTAAAACTTTCTAACAAAGTTTACATATAACCAAATCAGTCATCGATCAGTGTCTTGATAATTATCAAATTTTACTTGTTTTTTTTTCATACAATTATTAAAATGCGAGATTTTGTAGAAAATTTTAAGACAGATGAATTTGAAATTGTCTTATCTTCAAGATCTTTTTTGTTTTGGGGCTCATTAGAATAAATAATAATATCAATAAAGCCTTTTTCCAAAGCCAATTCTGAGAAATGGCTGACAAATTCCAAGAGAATTTGACAAGATTTACTATTGCAGTTGGTGCTAAAACATTTCTCTTTTCCTTATATAAAGTTCAGAATTCTTTCTGTGTTTGGGTATTTTTCAATGGTCAGTTTACAAATGAGGCAAGCAGACTTTGCCAACAAAAAGTTCAGAAACAACAGTTATCCAGAGTGCAAGGACAAAAAATATGTAGGAGATTCCAACTTGAAAATTGTGAGGCAGTTGATAGGGGAGGCCACCAATTTGATCCATGTTGAATCCAATAGGAAAGATGACAGCTGCCATGCAAAACAGTATCACTGCAAAAGAGAGAGGAAGGAAGGAAGGGAAGAAATGAAAAGACTTATAAAGATTTATAATATTCACGAAGGGAGATAACCAACAATAATAAATAATGCCAAATTGATCTGGAAAGAAAAAAGTAATGGAAAAATATAAAAATATTTATTTATAGATGTATTTGCCAACCCACAAAGGCAAAATCTGAAAAGGTCAGTTTTTTTTTAGTGTGGAGAATTTGATCTGATTTGTTTTCTATGGCTTTTGCAGGCTATTTAAAGCCAGAAAATATTTTTCTGATTGTAAGATTTTGTTTTTTGAGATAATGGTTTGGTGATACAAGTATTACTAATTTATTTAACCCAAGTACTTTTGACATTTTCTAAGATCATCTTCAGGGGTAAATTACAAAGACAATCTTATTGTGACTGTGATAAAATCTGTATTCTGTTGTCATAGTGATTTTTAAAAACAAGAATGAATTCCATATCAACAGATAAATTTAGAATAACTACAACAGAGTGTATTTGCATAAGTTTTTAAAAATCACCATCACAACAGAATGCAGATTTTATCGCAGTTACGATAAGTTTGCCTTTGTAATCTATCTCTGAAGATGATCTTAGAAAAGATCAAAAGCACCTGTGTTTAAAAAAATGAAAAAACTATGGTGCCTTCCTTGATGAATTTCATCTTAACATCAAGAAATTGATTAGACAACTGAAAAGGATCAGTATAAAAATAAGTATACACAATATGTCTATATTATTCAATAAAATATCTTTGAATATATATAAAAAGAGAAGAGAGATGCTGCAAGCATTTTTTGGTTATGTGGATTTTATATATATATATATATTATGCTTTATTTTCCATATTTTTGCTACATGAGGTTCCAGTCTCGTGATCTTCATCAGGCAAAAAGTGGTTATTTCCACATACTATTAAAAGGAATTAATTTTCCTTATGTTTTCCAATGTTTAATCATTGTCTTTTGTGTGTAGTAATGATCCAAATTTTTCTTGGACTTGTAACAAAAATATTCTTCTACTTAAGGGGTAATAACACAATTAGGATTGATCAGAGAAAGAAAGGAAGTCTTTGTTCTTATCTTTTTATGACCCCTGTATCTTCTTAGACCTATCTCCATTTTTGTGTATCTTTTTTTAATTACCCTTCCTCTATTATTGGTTTGTTATATAAAAAAATAAAATCTTCTCTGAAGTTTTATTTTCTTGTAGATGCTAATATATATTCTTTTTAAGAATTATTTTTTTTATTATTTTAAGAATTAGTTTTATTTTCTTGTAGATGTTAATATATATTCTTTTTAAGAATTATTTTTTTTATTATTTTAAGAATTAGTTTTATTTTCTTGTAGATGTTAATATATATTCTTTTTAATTTAAAATGAAAACATTAAATGATACATTTCCTAAGATGAAAATAATTAAATCATTATATGTTTTTTAATCTTTCAATATTTTAATATATTAATTTTGGAAATTCTTTCTCATTAATATAAATATATAATTATATCTCTTAATTTTGAATTAATAGTAATTTGTTAATATAAGATTATTGAAAATATTTTACGCTAATTTTCCACTTTTATTTTACTCATTGAAATCAGGTCAGTATACATGTATCTATCTCCTCATATCATTACCATATGTAGACATTACTATTCCCTATCTACTTTCTCCTTTCCCACCTCCTCCTCACTCTTGTCTTCTCACTATTCCTTTTACTCTTCCTTTTTTCCGTTTTTCTTTTCTTTACTTCAGCCTGGCTTTTAAAATTGGCTTCACTCCAGTTTCATTTTGATTTTTCTTGTTAACCTGATGGATTTAAAAATCTTTATAAATTAATTTTAATTTATAAGGTGAAATGATGATCATCAATATCATGGAGTAACCCTAATTCCTATTGTTTATAGAAAAAAAAAACAACAAATGTTACCGATTTACAACTTTTTTTTATATACACAAAACCCTTTCAGGAAAAAATAAATAAATCTCCATAGACACTTAACCAGACTGGGCGATGTCATTTTCCGCTTTAAATTTAGACACCCCAACCTTACCCTGACTTGACATCTGTGAATGTAACTGAGATATTGATACAAATAATTAACACCTTACGCCCCTTTTCTTTAAACAATTGCTCTAGCTGTTACCATAGAAAGTTTGATTTCAATAATGAATATACTTATAAAACACGTAAATTTCAGAAATAAGTTATTCCAGAAAAAATTTCACTTGAAGATGGAACAGAGCTTAGTACTTTGATTCAATTTAATTCAAATAATTATATTGAAGTTTTTCGGCTCTTGTTTTGAAACATGAGAACTCTTATGTAGCATGTTGGAATCATATTTTATATATATATATATATATATATATATATATATATATATATATATATATATATATATATATATATTTATTGAGAGAGAAGGAGAGAGAGATAATCTGTTGTGAGCAATTTCTTGAACAAGGCCAGTACACTCAAACGCTCAGTCACAATGACTTGTGACTTTGTGCTAGTACAACTGTTGATAGCTTCCAAACAGTTCTGTCTACCCAATTTCACTTGCAAGGATAACTTGTGGTTTGGTTTTCACACACTTTCCAAAATTGTTGCATACTGGGATCTCCTTGCCAAGCCAATATTATCAAGACAAATTGATCAGTGAGATTTGAACCCCGGTCTCATGGTCAGAAAGTGAATCTTAAGTGCCCATTAAGATATCATAGTATGTGTAAAAAATGATGAAGCTATTTATGTCATTTCTACTTAGGATCACACTATCTGTGTGCGCTACGTACGATCAAAGTGGCACAGCTGCCTAGAGTCAGTATCATATAGGTGTGCCATGTGAAAAGTGTTAGACACACAATATCCTGTGAGGAGCCATCAAATGGCAATCTGTTCATTTCCACATGAAAACAGAATTAGGAAAAGCAAAGGAGATAAAGGAAAAAAGAAAGAAAGATAGCTGCCATTAATTTTATTACTCCTTTATCCCTTTGATCTTTTGAATTGGGTGAAGCTTAATTTCTTCTTTTAAGGTGTAACACACACATTATATAGGAAGGTAGATACTATGGTATTAACATATACATATTGAGTGTGTACTTATCATTGCTTCTTTTTAAAAGTAAGGCACATGATGATTACATTTTTGTTATGAATTGTCTAATATATACAAATGTGTAAAAATGCACATAATATCTTGGAAATACTTTTTTTTTTGTGGAGATCAAAATCAAAACTAGTCCTGCTATTTCATAGAATAAATTTAACCATAGACATGAGCAGATTTAGCTTTAAAACAATGAATGAATGCATGATATTTTATACTTACTTGCAATAAAACCAAGCCATCGAGCAAATTTAATTGCTCTGTAGTACCAAAATGAAAACCAAAGCAACAGTATGGTAGCAGTAATTGCTCCAATGCCAAGCACTATACAAATAAAAGTGATGAACCATTCTGCTCGGGGTGGCTCAGGATTATAGCAAACAGTTGGACGTTCATAGATAGTAAGACAGGTTTTCAGTAAGCCAATTGAAGTGGCACCTGGAGAAAGTAGAAAAATAAAAAATTTGCCAGACAAACTTTAAACATAGAACTTTAGTGATAACAGTAACAGTATTTATGTTAAGAGGGTAGTAGAATTTTTTAATAACACATATCAGGTCAGGTTGGCTGCTGGTAATATGTAACTCAGTAAAACCTGCCACATAAATGGGTGGTTGGTGTCTAAACCAGTTCCCTCACTAGCTTTTCTGCTGCTGATGAGAGTGCCATGTTACCTCACAGGGTTCAAAGCAAGACCTGTCAAAAGGGTGGATGAGCTTACAGGAGCCAACACACACACACACATGTGTGTGTGTGAATAAAAAGACAATAGGACAAGCTATTCTTAGTCAATTAATTTTGTCCTCTGATGGACTTTATCAAGCCAAATGTAGGATTTATTTTGTTGCAACTGTTTATATACAAAGGCAAGGATGTCATTGATTTATCGAGGGGTTTAAATTTGAGAACGTTTATAAATATTCATTAGGTGGTTGAAAGGTCAGCCAAAAACTCTGGAGAACACACACACACACACACACATTAAAGGATAGGATGGGACCTCAGGCCTTGAATGGCAACCTTCCAAGAGATGGTATCTCTATAAAACCATTTTGTGTACTCTGACCACCATGATTGTCCAAGTCGAGTGTCAGGAAGAATATATGGCCTTGTATAAACTTGCCTTGACTCATTATGACAAATCCTGTTAGGCAGGACCCTATTTGCTTTGTGTGAGATTAATCCTGGTGCTGCCTAAAAACAAAAACCAACACAGCTATGTATGTATGTATATATATATATATATATATATATATATATATATATATATGCAGTTACTTATATCTTTTGAGTATTGCAGATTTTATAAGTACTAGACTGACTGCTCCTAGAAAGAATTTTTGGCTCTCATCCCAAATTATTTTTTCTTCTTGAAGATGATCTTGTGAGTAGAATCCCAATATAACAGTTACAAGTGACTGAGTTCAATATTTTAGAACTGCACACTACCATCAGCTCATTTTTATGCTAAAAATTTAAAAAAAATTCATTGTTTTAAATATGACAAACAAAATCTGTAAATATAAACTTCCAGTTAGTATAGTTTAAACTGGCTTTATTTGAGTTTTATAAGTCACATAGAAGCAATAGAAAATGCAAACCAGTTTAATATTTTTCTTATTAATAACATCATTCAGCTTAATTGACAGGTGGCTTTTCTGAACAAAGATTTGTCACAAAATGGGATAGCCACATATTTTTTAGATATCCTTTTCCAGATTTTGTACCAGAATGATAACTAAAAGGTTTATGTAGTTAGTTTCATATTAACCATATTATGTTGGTCTACAGTTAAAACATCTAAACAAGTTTTGTTAAATTCAACTGACAAGGTCTGTCTTTTTCATGTTTTGCATTTCTCCAATTTTGAATAACATATTGTACATCAGGATCAAAATTGTGGATAAACTGTCCAAAGGTTATATTTTGTTCAAGTACTTTTGACTGTCTGAGCATTTTCAGTTACACAAGATTTTGTTGGCTAAATTCTGAAATTTTTTTGTAATGCTAGAATTCAAATTAGTTTAAAGTGATATCATGTGTAAAATGATTCTATTGACCTAGACTGCACTGGTAAAACAGGTATCAAATATTTATTATATGTATTATTGTAATTTTGTATTAATTAATTTATGCACACTTCAAGATACCTTCTCCTATGATAAAAGGTATTTATTTAATGTGGGCTGTTTTGTATAACAAAGTTACTAAAATTCTGAGTCTTTGTAATAAGTCCTGTTTAATATTTTGGTATGACCTAAGAATATGTGGGGAAATTGTTAGTCAGACAAGAAAGGAGCAGTGTACTTTGTGTTGTTGAAATCTTTACTAAACAAAAAGCTTATCATCTTTACTAACCTTTTATAGTTACAATGGTCATGTGACAGGGTTATCGTGTGATTCCTGAAGTTGTATAAAAAGAAAGGAAATCTCTCTTTTGTTTAACATTAACTTCCATTTTATCAGACTGTATTATTCCTAGGGAGCATTTACATAACTTAAACTTATCATTTCAAGAAAATTGTCAGTTTTTCAAAATCTCTATTATTACATAATCAAAAATACAATGCATTATTTTATATGTCATGGAAAACAGCAATCTATTTCGCAACTTAAAGTTAGCGTTACTGCTTTTTTTCTTTGACCTGAACAGTCTCTGTTCATTTGAAGGATCAGGAGCATTTCTTTGACAAATACTTGTCTTATGTTGATAGTTGTATTTTAGTTGTTTGTGATGTGATAGTCAATATGTGCATGAATTGTGACAAGTTAACCTACAAGATAGTATTGTGCATGTGTGGCCAACATGAATATTTAATTTTTTTTTTTTTATATTGGATTTGCAATCTCCAAAGGAGATGAGAATTCATAAACAACACCGTTTTTAGCTAGATGGATTTTTGAGGTCCCAAGTTATTAGTAAATTTAGGTTAGATATTAGATCAATAATAACACAACTACCATATTAAAAAAAAAAAATTAAAAATATTTTGATGCAACTTGACTTTTAATGTACAAATACAACAATTTGCTTCAGCTGGAATAGAAAGTGTTAAACAAGTTTTTGAACAGCCTCTATTGCCCAAGTGTTAATGCATTTTATCAAAAGTTGATATTCTTCTTTATTCTAAATTGATATTTAAGAATAAATATACAAGCCTATGTGTCAGTAGAACAAGACATTTTATTTTAAAAATCTAAAATTTTCTTTTCCATTTGCACAGAATATGTGATATTTTTCTATGAAGAAATTAGTGTAGTCATATCAAAAAGATTTTTTGTTTTTGTTTTAGATACTGAAAAACGTTTAATTTTATAACCCCGTTAGAGTTCAGTTCAAAATTCTCTGAAGAAGGCGGGTAGGCGTAACGTCCGAAACGTTGTGATAACATTAACAAAAAATGATGAGGACATTAATTCGAATGTAAATTACATTTATTTAAATGCCATTTGAGAAAATATTTACAATTTTTTATAGTTTAAATTTTACACTTAAAGCATGAGCACTTTTGTTACTTATCTGACTCAACAAATAAGTTGAGGTGGTTAAAGTAAAATTTAAAAAACTCAAAAAAATTAAATAAACATAAAATATAAAAACTGAAGTAAAAGTTTCTGTTAAGGAAATTTAGAGACAATGTATTCCACAAAATAAAAATGTGTAAAATTCGATTAAGTTTTTAAATTACATATTTCCTGCTTAAAATTAAAACAGAATTTAGGTGATTTGATAGAAAAAGTCAAGCAACATCTTTCTAGAGATCAATTGCAAGGTTTATTATTTTTTAAGAAATTAACGATCTTTTCACTTATTTTCGCAACGTTTGTTTGTAATCAGTAAATGAATTAATTAAATCAAGAGAATGAATAATTTAATTGCTATAGCGTAACAGTGCACACTTACCCCCCCAACCACTTTTTTTTTTTTTTTTACATACGGCTATTTTTTCAATCATAATTAAGGACTCAAAAAACAAAAGTGTATTATTCCATTAAAAGGAAACATAACAAACTTACCGTTTCAAGAAAATTATAAGTTTCTCAAAATCTCTAAAATTAAAAATACAATAATGCATTATTATTTTTTTACAATTTTAATAACGAAATGATTTTATTTTTAAAAAATGCTAAGTTTGACAACTACAAGCTAGCAATAAACGCAATTGCTGGGTTTTGTTTCTCTTATCATTAACATTAGTGTCAAGATAAACATACTAAAACAAAATGTAAAGAAATATCTTCATTTTCTTATATTTACCCCCAATCTCTGAAACAATCCAGTTAGGCATAGCAATGCTGGCTACAGCGAGAAGGTCGGCTGTAAAAAACAGCGCCATGGAAATTATGCTCAGCCTGTCCATCTTCTTGGTGGTGTTGTCGTTTCCGCCAGATTTGTTTGGGTCCTCACGAATAAAAAAACATAATGTTGCCGATCCCTCAGTTTATTTATATGAGGCCATCGACTTGTCCATTATCACAACACAGAAGTTATTTTAATTTTACTCGAACTGATGTTTTTAGTTTTTCTTTTCCCTGTTGACAATTTGGAGAGCAATTGTGTCACGTGACACAGGATAAGGAAGATAACTACATCCCAAATTCGAAATAGCATCAACCGGTGTAACATTTAATAAATTACAATGAGACAGTGGTGCACGGATTAATTATATTATCAATGCACTTTAAAATGGTCTACTTTTCTGTTTTTAAAATATTCCTATATTCTCTAAAGTAGAACAAATGCCAGTGTTAGCAAATCTTAATGAATTAATAAACAAAATACTTTTAGAAATATGCAAAAAAAAAAAACAAAACGTGAAACCACACTCTGTGAACTTGGTTAGTAAGGAAATCAATCCTACTAGCATGTAAAAAAAAATGTAAATATAAGCTAATTATACGTCCTGGTTTGAGGTATAGTCACAACTGACAATATTCATCTTCAGAGCCCCTAAATTCCAGAGGGGCCCTGAAGCAACTTTACTTTTAATGAGTAAATTTTTCAATAAAAATTAAAAATAAAATCGATAGAGTGTTTGTTAGTGAGAAAATAACAAGTGACCTATGTTATATACCAAAATGCCTGTGAGTATTCTCGATAATGAAAGCAAAGCACACACACCCACAAAAAAAGGTAAATAAATAAAAGTTAAAGAAAACGAGCCTTAGTTTTTAAAAAATTACCAAAAATCTTAGAATTACCTGATTTAATAAATTTTCAGCACTTATTCATTAATGTTATTGTCCAGGTAATTATTTTAGAAAACTATGTGGATTTTTTTTTCTGGGAGCCAGTTTCAATTCACCTTAACTAACTAACACTACTAAAAACAGTAAAACTGTAACACTAACAGTGAACAATTTTAGTTTTAAAATTTAAGTTTTGAATCGTGTTGGGTGTTGGGAGGATATTCGCAATTTTTCTTTTTACAGTTAAAGAAAAATCGCTGATTTGAGTGAAAAATATCCATTGCAGCATTATCAACCGTGGATATACTGAAAATTTGTCCCGAAACTTACAAAAAAAAGAGTTTAAAAAAATGAAATTATTTTTTGGTGAGAGTTGGTGCTTAGCTTGCATTTTAAAACATCTTCTTTCAGATTTGACAGGAAAAAAAATCTACACTAAGTATTTATTTTTAAAATATTTCATTTATTTTACTTGTAGTTTTTCAGCACGATTTTGAAATTCATCCAGCCAAGAGATTTTTTAAAAAATAAAGTAAAGAAAGAGTAAAGACTCGAAAAGTATAAACTTCTTTTAAAAAATGTTCACACTCGAAAATGGCATTTTAAACGTTTTACTAGAACTTTTTTTAATGTCATCTATTTTAACAGTAAATTCAAGTGTATACCAATTTTCCCCTTTTTTTCTAGCACTTCCTTTAGTTTAAAATTTTAAGATCAGAATAATTAAAGAAAAAACTTTTTAGGGTAGTTAAATATTTTATGACAACAATAAGCAAGAAACTAATAAAAAAATAAATGTAAGAAGTATCATTTAATAATTTTTTTAATTAAAATTTTTATAGTCCTATTATTGTAGAAATTAAAAAAAAATTATTCCATTAAGTTTCATAAAATGCCTAGAATAAAGAAATTATACTCATCAGGTATATTCATAAGAGTTAAAGATAATTTATTTTTAAACATAAACAATATCAGTCTCTAGTAGTTTTTGTCCTCTGTACTTAATTAAGTTTTATGCACATAATAAAATTGGGAGTGACAGTAGAAGACAACTATTGTTAACATGTGACCTTGATGACAACGCATGGCCACAGTGCCGAAATAAATGTTATTTTTTACTCTGTTTTAAGCAAAAAGTAAGTATTATTTTTATAAAATTCATTAATTAATCCCTAAATTTATTAATTTTGAAGCAAATCTAGACTCTCTTAAAAATCCAATATTTATACTCTAGATTCTAGAGTATAAATATTGGATTTTTAAGAGATTTTTAAATTTGTTGTTTTCATATTTCATCTATAATGAGAGTCGATGAGTGATCAGTAACCAGAACCATGCCAATGTTTTAAAAATATCTAAAAACTTTATTTAAATATATCATTTCTTTTTTAAAGATTAATTTTTAGGCTATTATCTTTCAAATAAAAACAAAATTTAACTTCAGTGTATCAGAAACTAGTAATACCCCTTGATACAGGACATTCCGGAACGGGATTATGACGTTGCGTGAAATAAAATAATAATGTCCCTACAATGCTTTAATTACTCAGATGTATACCAAATACCGTCATCGAACAGTGGAGCTGTGATTAAAGCTATGCAACACAGCTTTAACAGATTCGGAGTTCCACAAGAAGTATTCATGGACAATACCCCATGCTGCATGTAAGCAGAATACCAACAATTTGCAACCAAGTGGGACTGTGGCACCTTGCATTATTAGAAATATTCATAGAAATATGATTTAATTTTTTCTTATTCGGTTTACTAAACAGGTTGTTGATTTTTTTTAAAACGGAAAATAATTGAGTTGAAAATAATTCACTAAGATTGTACTTGGACGATCCTAAGGAAGAAGAAGGAAGGGGAAAGAGAGGTCGAGAAATACAAAAAAAAAAAAACGGTCATTAACAAAAACACGAGTCAGAAAGATATCTTAGCTAGCATGTTGACCGAATTTTTTAAAGACAATTGGAAGAATAGAATTAGAAATAATAAGAAGAAAGAAAGGGAAAAAAAGACATGATATTAAAACGGGCCGCTTGATGGAAGCCAGATATCGGTCAAAGCACCTAGCCTACTTTTGCATGGAAAGACACCTTATCAATTTGGATAAAGAGAAATTTTGGGAACAATGAAACAATCTTAATCGGAGAGAGGTGTCTTTTGGGTTGAGGGAGTGACCGGTGGAACGGTATACAGGCTCTGACCTGTTAAAAATTAGAACCCCACAATAATAAAGTGGAGACATTTTCAATGTAGATAATTAAGATTTTTTGACTATCAGGAAAAACAAAGAGGTAAAAAAGAGGGACAATTGCTTTTGGCTCACAGAGGGCGCCAAGAAGGCGGAAAAAGATCCTTTCTGAAGTCAAGTCTAATTAGCGGCGGGCTGTTTGACAAAGTCCAGGTGAGAGAAGGCCAAGATGGTCATTTTTTCATACGTGCGAAAAAAAAGGAAAAATTAGATTTTGTTTTTTAGAACAAGAACGATATAAGCCCGCCCTGATTGATTGCAGGAAACGCCCAATCAGGATCTCATTAGCCGAAAACGGTCACGTGGCTGCAGAAAAGAAAAGAAAGAAATACTCAACCAGAATCCCATTAGCCGAAAAACGGTCACGTGGCTGCGGAAAAGAAAAGAAAGAAATGCTCGATCAGAATCTCATTAGTCGAAAGCGGTCACCTGACATACGAGAGACCGAGAGAGATGGATATGCGCCTCCCCACCAAAAGCACTATGAGGAAGTAGGGGTGAAAACAATAGCGATAATGGGGAAACAGAATTAATGCGGCTATTGGAATTATCGAGAAAACCCTGACGCCGACAGACCCACCCCGGATTGCTGCGGCGTCAATAAAAGCAGGGCCCCAATCGACAAAAATCAGTTCAGCCCCGGACGGCAGCGAGAAGAGATCATCTCGGACGACAGAGAGTTGCGGCTGAGTTGCGGCAAGAGATCCTTCCAGCCCAAGTCGAAGACAAGAGAACTTCCAGCCCAAGTCGAAGACAAGAGAACTTCCAGCCTAAGTCGACGAAGAAGAAGAAATACAACTCAAGTCGAAGAGAAGAGTCAACTGCGAATGATCGATAGAAATTAGCCCCAGTGTCGAACCAAACCACACTCCGACATACACAATTCTAAAGAGTAGGCAATTCGAAATCTTTAGGTTGTGTGATAGAAGCTTGGTGCCATAGTCCACAGAGCGGGTTGGGAAATGAGAACAATTTTGTTTTTATGTAGCGGACATTAAGATATAAAAAGGTTGTTACCCATTTTTTTTCATCAGCAATCTTTTTGTCTCGTGAGTTTATTTTCTCTTTTATTTGTGTTTTTGCCACCCCGTCGGACTCAACTTGTATCGGCCCCAATCCCTGCTGGTCCCGTCTGTCTAAGATCTAAACACAGCGTGGGTAGACAGACCGGAGATCGGCACAGTTGCTTTAGTGACCAGGTATTGGAAGCGAGTCGGGAAAGGCGAGGCTGGTGATCATCTGACCAAGGGGTTGGAGCGGCACGCTTGGACCCAGGAGGAGCGACCAGGAGGAGCGACGTCACCGTTGGCGCCGTAACCAAAGGATCCGACCCTGGGCCAGGTGTGTAACCGTCACAAGTGGTGCCGTGACCAACGGATCAACCCCTGAGACAACCACGTCACATATGGTGCCGTGGTGACCGAGGGATTTCAACCCTGAGAAGACCACGATCGACCGCCGTTGCTGAAAATTCAGACAGAACTCAGAACGACCCGGGACCAAAGGAAAAGAAAGAACAGAATCATCTGTAAGGTAGGACACCTTGTTTTGTTTCCCAACCTCGATTGTTGCTGTATAGACTGTCTTTCTCTGTAGACATGTCAGATTATGATTCGGATAGAGCAGTGGGGGTGAAGAGGAAGTAAGGCGGGGGTTGTCAGTGGAATTAAGGAAGCTGTTAGGTGGACCGAGGGTCCCAGTATTTGATGGCAGCGGAAAGGAGTTTAAAAACTGGCTGGCAACCCTGGAGAAGAGCCGAATTATATACGAACTTTCAGACCAAGAGACCTGTATTTGGCATACGATGCCACAAAGGGAAAAGCGTCTGAGTTCGTGAGGGGGGTTTTGGAGAACCAACCCCGCTTGGCTTGGGAAGAAATAAAAGACTAC